CGATTGTGTTAAGTGCATTTTTGGGAAACGCACGTGAAACAATAAAGAACAAAAAAACGTAGAAAACACTCGTAAGAAAACACTCGTAAGCACTAAGATCAATCGTTATCGAGAAACGCAGCCCTGATTATGTTAACACACTTAAATACAATTTTACAAAAGCACAGTTTGTAATATTGTCAAACACGTTACTTTAAAGTACATTTTAAATCATTGTTTACATTTTTTTTTTATTATTTTGCTTTAAACAACATCGTAAAGCACATGTAAAATACTTGATTATAATTTTAACTGTAGTGTTTTCAATATTATTTTTAAAATGAATATATTGCAAATATACTAAAATGCTACTTCATCAGTAGTCCTTGTATACAAAAATCACATTAAAAAAAGAAATATACATATACACACGCACACACATTATAACATCACATTAAATAGTGCTTCATCATTCATGGCCATAGGCGATCAAGTCTGAAGCTAAATTCACTAACATTTTTGAAAACAGACATTCTTTTTCATTAACAAGGAGTCACACAAGGGGGAGCTAAAGCTGTTCATTCTGTTAAACTGGGCATTGTGGTCTCAAAATGAAAAATATTCTGGCTTGACCCATATATTGTTCAATCATACTTGTTCTTATGCTTTCAAACACTCCCTCTGTGCTGCAGGTTTCTGAAGACCCCTGAGGAAATCATCCAAGGCAGGTCAGACCGCACAGAACCGTCAGAGTCTCCTGACAGTCCTGCATCTCCTGACTACAGAGAAGACGCTCTGGAAGTATATCCTGTATCGACTCCTACTACACTGAGCCCCAGCTCTGATCACAACTTCAGCATATCACCAATCCCATAACATTCACTCCCTCATTCTGATCCAGGATCAGCCTTAGTAATTAATTATCCTGACTTTTTAGAATGGGAAACCCCGAGCTGATCTTCTGTCAGAGTGAACATCCAATGCAGCACCAGAGATGGCTGATATCCCGAAGAGGTTCCACAGGAGAATATTTTAGGAGACGCTCAGACCACATGGTTTTGACTCAGGGTAGTAGTGTGCCGTTGTTTGCTGTTAGTGTGTGTTAAAAGCTAAGCGACACTAATTTCTCAACACAACAATTCTGATTGATTCTCATAGTTGATTATTAGAGTTGATATGAAATTTTCTCTCAGGTTGTAAAACTGTGCAATGTTATTTTTTTTTTACAGATTTGTGAACTGCACTGCATTACTGTATTGCATGGTTGATTTATACCATTAATCAAATATCATTAATAATTTACAGAATGAAATCTGTGAATTCATTAATCAACTATTAACCGTATAAAGGGAGTTGACAAATAAGATGCTCATGAACTTTTTTTTTTTTTTAAGGTTGAAAAGTATAGATTTTATATTTGATGACACTTTATTTAATAATTTCTTTCAATACTTTTTGCAGTTTTCTTACAGTAAATATTCCTGTATGACAAATAATTGTTTATTAAGTGCAAATAGTTCATTTTATCTAATAAAATCTACATGAATAATAATTAGAAAAATTTGATGAATGGGTCAATGCAATGAAATGCCATGGACATAGGACCCACTTTGAGCCGACCTCCTCTACAACTGTTTTTTTCCCACTTTCTTGTAAAACCTATATATAAGTTTATAAAAGTCTGAAAGAAGAAAGAAGAAAGAAAAAAAAACTATAGTCTCTACACTCTAAACCCTAGGGGGGAAGTCGTGGCCTAATGGTTAGAGAGTTGGACTCATAACCCAAAGGTTGCGGGTTCAAGTCTCGTACCGGCAGGGATTGTAGGTGGGGGGAGTGAATGTACAGCGCTCTCTCCCACCTTCAATACCACGACTGAGGTGTCCTTGAGCAAGGCACCGAACCCCCAACTGCTCCCCGTGTGCCACAGCAAAAAAATGGCTGCCCACTGCTCTGGGTGTGTGTGTTCACTGCTGTGTGTGTGTGTGCACTTAGGATGGGATAAATGCAGAGCACTAATTCTGAGTATGGGTCACCATACTTGGCCACATGTCACTTCACTTCACTAAAAAATGCTGGGTTAAAAAGGGACAAACCCAGCTATTGGGTTGTTTTGACCCAGCGGTTGTTCCTTTTTAACCCAGTGCTGGGTTATATGTAGCCCAGCATTTATTAGAGTGTATAGGCTTTTTTTTTAATTTTTATATCAACATAGAACAGATTTTTTTCTGGTTATGCCAAGCTGTAAAATATTTTAGCGGCCTTAATCCTCATCCAGTAAATCATGATCAACTGGAAAAGTCATGGGGCCTTTGAATATTGCTGTGACCAATGGGGCCTTTGAGTCAAAACTGTTGAGAATCACCTTAAAGCAATCCATTCAGCTGGGGGAAGTGACACATCACTAGTTTATTACTTAGGGTAAATCATCCCTAACTATGTGAATGGTAGGTACATTTAAAATTACTTTGTCTACATAAGTTTTAGAAGAGGAAGTTGATAACTTTTAGTTTTAGGATTCATAGCTCTTCTAGGTTTAGTTCTTTCTGATGTGTGTGTGCTTGAAATCTATGATCGGTTTAGCTAATCTCTATGGTAATCTAGTTATGGCTGTGCTCGTTTTAAGACTAAACGTCAAGCATATGACTGCTCTAAAGACAACAATAATACATTTACCTCTGATGGCCTCAGAAAGTGCGTAGACACAGATATAATAGGCCTACTTTAGACATCACGAAGTGAGGAATTGATTTAAGAATTGGATCTCCTCAGTGGCTTCACATCATTCACAGTGTCCCAGAGGGGAAGGAGGGACGTCTGTGGTTTGGTAAAAATCTTTTTGATTTAACAACACCGTGACTGTCTGTTTTAATATGCTGTGCTGATGCGTCACATCCAAAGTTGGTTCGAGCGTTGAAGAACTGAGATTATTCTAGTCATGTCATCCCCGTTATGCGTTCTGTCTCAAAATGAGAACCTCTCCGTGTCTTTCTGCGGTTCTGGCTTTCTAGCTACATACCAGCTCGGTGCTGCGCAGAGTCTTTTGGATAACGCGGCCTGGATCCTGCAAGGAGCTCCGAGGGTCTACGGCGCGTCTGCCGGTTCCCTTGTCGCTGCAGCGGTTGTCTGTGGCTCCAATCTAGGTAATCTGAGATCTTTCTATTCATAACGTTCATTGATTGACTAAGACTTAGTGTTTTACTCACTGTAAAGGTTGTAGGTTCAAATCCCACCTCAACAGGACCAGACTGGTACTGGGTTTACAGGTTTTTTTCAACTGCTTATATACCAAATCTTTACTTGTCACACAATTTCTGAAAACTGACACTCAAAAACACCGGAACCACACACAAAACCATACACTAATTCTCAGCCTTTGACTCAAAGTTTTGTAAGCAGTTGAAAAAAAAAAACGGTAATGTGCTGTAAGTCACTAAAATAATAATGACTTATAATTGAGTCAGTAGCAGGGGCGGACTTACCCATTAGGCAAAGGTAGGCGACCACCTTGGGCCCCCAAAAGCCATCCTTTTTTTTGTGTATCCTGCTTGAAGGAGATGAAAATATTATGCATCTGAAGTTGTAATTAAATATTGAGAAACAGTGTGTATTATATGTTTATAATTGTTTTAAATGCCGCTTACTCATTTATGAGAAGGAACCAAGTAGAGGACACATACGCAGTTACTTTTTTGGTTGATATAATCCTTAGGTGTGTAAATGTATAATTGCCTTTTCATTCTTTTTTTCAGTTTTATTTAAATTTGTAGTTAAAATAACTAAAAATAAATGTATTTTAAAGTTTAGAATTAGACAGCCTTTGCACACAGGCTTATGCTGGTAACTCATCAGTGGACTTTCCTTGTCAATATAGGCTATATTTTTTCACACTTTTCTCATTCTATATTTCTGAAGTTCCAAAAGCGCCTCCTACTGGCAGAGAATTAATGTTCATTTTCAATAATCCAGTCTGCATTTTTGTTCAGACCAATGCGAAAATCCACATATATAACCACGTTTTAAATTAATATAATAATTTATACTTCTGGCTCACCCCTGGTTTAAATGCTCAATTGTGAGGTTTATCATTTTATAATTGATATTGTTTTTGTGAAAACCTGTATCTCAACTGTAAATCAGTTGCTATTTCGTGGTCTACAACATAAAAGAAAGCCATTATAACATGTACAGTCAGTAGTCATTAAATCCACCCTTTCTTCTCACAGGACGTGTTCGAGACCAGCTTTTGGAGTTTGCGCGATTTACTAAACAGCATCCTCTCGGTCTTCTCAGTCCCACGGTGGATATTTTCCGGTGGCTGGAGGTCACACTGCAGCGCTGTCTGCCTGATAACGCACACACTCTGGCCAGCGGCCGTCTGCACATCTCCATGACTCGCATCTCTGATGGAAAAAATGTCATCGTGTCAGAATATAATTCCAGCGATGAGCTTATTAAAGTAAGCATTATGATGTTCATTCAGAGTAACATTTTATAATACACATACAGTAGCAAAGCACTAATAAATCCTTTGCAATCTGTTATAGTTCATTCATAGTTTATAAACTGTAGTCTCTGCATTGTTAATACATATGTACAAACAGTTATATTATTGTTTAATTAGCTCATATGCAAAGAGTCAGATGTTTTATTATCCTTTGTTAACAACTTGTTAACCATACCAAACTGATGTACAGTATTTAAAAACCAGTAGAAAAGGAGCTGTTAATGATTCATTAGAAGTAAATAGTGCTCACTTTAGATTAGTTCATGGAACATAGTAAAATAAACGACCTTTATTAAAGAATGCTCATTTTTAAACAACAAGAAGATCAACTTTATCAGTTTGAATTAAAAGGCATCAAAACTCTAGAAAGCAGAAGCAAGATAGTGCACATAGTAATATTTATGAAATATGGGTTTCTTAGCAAATTCTGAACACATGCAGCCCTTCCTTTCTAGAAAGAACTAAATAAAATTCATCACTTGGGCTTATTTGTTGATGACGGAATTGTGTTCTCTCTTTAACTTTGTAGTACTGGTCAAACTCTTGTTTTTTCATTCTCTTTCACTTTTTCTTTAAATGGCCTTGTTACATCCTCTATAAGGCACTTTTGTGTAGCTGCTTTGTCCCTGTATATTCTGGAGTGATCCCACCGCAGTATAAAGGTGAGGTGAGTAAAAGTGTTTGTACCGTAAGTGCCTAAAAACTACAGAAATGTGGGGAAGTCGTGGCCTAATGGTTAGAGTCGGACTCATAACCCAAAGGTTGTGGGTTCGAGTCTCGTACCGGCAGGGATTGTAGGTGGGGGGAGTGAATGTACAGCACTCTCTCCCACCTTCAATACCACGACTGAGGTGCCCTTGAGCAAGGCACCGAACCCCCAACTGCTCCCCGGGCGCCGCAGCATAAATGGCTGCCCACTGCTCTGGGTGTGTGTGTTCATGGTTTGTGTGTTCACTGCTGTGTGTGTGCACTTTGGATGGGTTAAATGCAGAGCACTAATTCCTAGTATGAGTCACCATACTTGGCCACATGTCACTTCACTTTTTTCACTTAACTTTTGAAATGCACTAAACCAACAGACAGCCCAGAATAAGCTATAAAAACAACACCCCTGTATATTCCCAGCACTATATGGATGGAGGTTTCACAAACATCCAGCCCTTCGAGGATTCCTCTCCCACCCTCACCATCTCGCCGTTTGCTGGACACATGGACATCTGTCTGTCCGATACCTCCACCATCCTGTGCGATGCCATCATCCAGCAGCTCTCCTTCCAGTGCTCCGTCACTAACTTCATCAGGCTGGTGGACGCCTTGTTTCCTCGGGACTGGAGGGTGAGATCTGGAACTGTGTCCTGACACAGACACATAGAAGTCTATGGTGCTTTTTTTCCTTTTCAGAATAAACACAAACCTGAACACCTGGATAGAAACAAAGAGCTTGAACATTGTGTAACTTTTTCTTGGCCCATTAAAAAAAAAAAAAGTAAAAATGCTGTATGGTTTAATAATTGAAATGATTTCACTCAGAAATTGCTAATACATTTAACAAATAATTACAAAGAAACAGCAGCTACAAAACGTGAAAAGACTGAAGTAGTAGGTTTTTTTACAGTGTAATATGGGTGAATAAATTATGACGTAATTTTTAGCAGCTACGTTTCTGTCATTATTAACTGCATTTATTGTTGATTGTCAGATTCTGAAGAGGGCTTTCTACAGTGGGTACCAAGATACTGTATACTTCCTGCAGCAGAGCAGTGAGTTTTAATCAGATTTTTATTACTATCATTATTATTATTCATTTATATTTAAAGTTGAAGTACTCATAGGTATGTGTACACTTACTTTTTTTGCATTTGGTAAGAGTGATACATATAATGTCAGCGTATGGAGGACTAAAACATACTTTAAACCCTTTCATGTCAACAATTGTAGCGATGCACAAATGCTTGTGAGTCTTTTGCTCTATTTGTGTTGGAAATGTTCAGACACACCAATCTTAAAAGGTCAATGAAATTAAACAGAGGAGTCACTAATATTTCCAAAGTCGTTTACATGTTAGAGGATGTTCGTACATTGATATTATAAATATTAGTGTTCATGCAAACAAAATAAAAAAAGTATGAGCTAGAACACATTTTTTTATACAAAAACACTACCATTCAAAAATGTTGGGGTCAGTAAGATTTTCATTCATTCTTTCATTGGTTGGCAAGAAATTAAGTAGTTTTGTTACGTATGGATGCATCAAATTTATTTTATGCAATTTCTTTTTTTTTTTTACAATTTTACATTGTTACAGAAGATTTCTATTTAAAAAATGCTGTTCTTTTGAACATTCTATTCACCTGAGAATTTCTCCAAAATGTATAAATGTACAAAAAACTTATTGTATAATAATATTATCATTGATAATTATAAATATTATTATTGATAATAATCAATGTTTGTTGAGCAGCAAATCAGGATATTAGATTGATTTCTGAAGGATCATGTGACACTGAAGACTGGAGTAATGATGCTGAAAATTTAGCTTTGACTCCGGAATAACTTAAATTTTACAATATATATTCAAGTAGAAAACGGTTGCTTTAAATTGTAATGATATTTCTCTATATTACTGTATTCTTGATCAAAGAAATGCAGTCTTGGTGAGCACAGGAGACAAAAACATCAAAACTTCTTGCCAACCCCAAACTTTTGAAGGGTACGGTATCTACTGGCATCACATTGTTTAGAAAAATATTAATTATTATGAGACACCTTTCTGAATGTAAATGTAAAAGTTGGACAGGCAGTTTTTGTCTGTTGCTATCTTGTGTATTGTAGCCCATTTTGAATGCTGTATTGACCAGTCAGCATTTAGAAGTAAGGTTTTAGATCTGTCCACTTGCTAACCGGCGCTGTATCTCTCACCTCGACAGATGCACTGCCGCTGTATCCTCAACGGAGAAAGGAGTCTGATGCGTCTGATGATTCGGTGAGCTCAGATCACTGGATGCTGACACAGACTGATCGTGCAGAGGAAGAGGAATCCCATCAAAACTGCCCTGAACAACCTGCAGTCAATGGGGTTTGTTCATCCGTGAGTCCATCCCGTCAAGAGCCGACAGTACACAAGAGCTCACCAGTAGAGGTTCAGGAAGGTACTGTAGTGTCCCGTTTACATTTCTGATAGTGGAGCATTCGATACAGAAGTGAAACAGTCTCCTATTCTCTGTTTTAGTGCTGCTGTGTAATATCGTGGGGCAGCTGGAGATTGTGAGTAATTCGAATGCCGCTTTACTTCAACGGACGCTCTCATACCTGCTCTTACTGTTCACACTGCCAATCTGGAGTGCCACCACCTTATGGGACAGGTACTGATCTAATTATAGTTTATTTCGGAAAATGTTTAGTAATGCACTGAAAATATTCATCCAAACGTGAAACAACCAAAATAGACTTACTTTTGATATGAAACAAAGTCCCAGCTTTCAAATTCTGTAAATTTACAATTTCACTACATAATTTAAACAATTAGTGTGTGGTGCATGAACCGATCATCTCTTCAGTTATGTCACAAAATAAACATGAATGAACATCAGAAGGTGTTGAGAGAAACAGTACAACTTTGTACGTATGTATCATGCCTCATGTAATCACTCAGTGAGTGTTGAATGAAAGAGCTTGTAAACAATATGTCACATAATGTTGGTTTACCTCAATGTCCATCAACTTGTTGGTTTACGCTACAGACGGTGATAACTTAAAAGATCAGTTCACTTTCAAATTAAAATTTCCTGATGATTTACTCACCCCCATGTCATCCAAGATGTTTACGTCTTTCTTTCTTCAGTGGAAAATAAATTAAGGTTTTTGATTAAAACATTCCAGGATTATTCTTCTTATAGTGGACTTCAACGGCTACCAAACGGTTGAAGGTCAAAATTACAGTTTCAGTGCAGCTTCAAAGGGCTCTACACGATACTAGACGAGGAATAAGGGTCTTATCTAGCGAAACGATCGGTCATTTTCTTAAAAAAAAAAAAAATTTATATGCTTTATAAACAGAAATGCTCGCCTTGCATTGCACTGCGATGCACGTCCACGACTTCACGTAATACGTAATCACATTGAAAAGGTCATGCTTGACGTAGGCGGAAGTACCGACTCAGTCAGTGTTTACAAATGTGGAGAAGGAGGACCGTTCAAAAGTTGTTGTATGTTCAAGGACACATATTCAAATTTTTTGTAAACGGTGTTTGACTTAGTCTTTGCACGTTCGACTTGTAAACACTGAGTGGGTACTTCTTTAATCATATTTCTATCACTGGTGAAAAAATATTTTGTCTTACATTAAAATAGACAAATTTAATTAGCCTATTCTATTTACGTTAGTATGTGAAGTCGAAATCAACCTCAACTTTGCTTTAAAAAGCATCGCAAGAGCTCCTAACTGAAGATCACATGATCACAAACGGAAATCACTTCTGTGAAGTGACCATCGCATGTTGCCTTCACTAACGAACTTCTGGAAGGGCCCTTTGTGAAGGGATTCAGTTGTTCACTTTCGCTTGGAACGTCCCTACAAATGGTGTCCCCTTCCCGAAGTGCCCTTCAAGGGCGCAAAAAAGCCGTTTGGAATTCGCCCTCAATGATGTCAAAGCTGTAATTTGATTGGTTATTAAGGCACACGTGACACAAGTTAGCCGTTACGCTTTCTCCAATAGTAAGTAATACAGACCCTCTCATCTCCTTATAGTAAAATAATCTCTGCCTTCACCCCCAGCTGCTTTGTTTATGGGGTTTCCAGGGTAACGGCTGCATTTCTGCTGCTCAGCGCCATCTGCTGCCAGAGAGTGAATGTGCGCGTCATCCAGATGAATGTGCTTTCATTCATCACAGAGCCAAATACTTAAATATTTAGAATTTATAGGCTATTTATTCTCAAACTTTTTTACATTTTAATCTGGACTACAACATGCCCTTGATATTGTTTGAAAGTGTTTTGATTCTTTATTGTTCAGTCACACTTTACATTAGGGCTTCATTAGTTGACATTAGTTAATTCATTAGTTAACATAAACTGCCAATGAAAAATTCTTCTGAACATTCATTAATCTTAGGTATTCCAATATTTAATAACACGTTGTTAAAATCAAAAGTTGCAACTGTGTTATTTAATGAGCTAACATGAACTAAGAGTTGTATTTTTAAACAAAGATTAATAACTTCTGTAGCAAATGTAGCTATTGCTCATTGTGAATGCTAATGCATTAACTAAGGTTAACTAATGAAATATCTTATTGTAAAGTGATAGGCTACCTATTGGTCTTTATAATTCTTTTGCACTTTAATCAGTGTACAATTTTTAACTTTATACATTTTAGTGTATTGCTTTATTGTATTTAAATGTTGTTATTTTTGTTGTAAGAAAAAAAAAGTTATTAAACCTATTATACTGTATTATGACAACACTTTTTTGACCATTAATTGGAGTAGTAAAATAATTATAAAAACAGCCTTATGTGCAATTTATATGTTTATACAACTCCATTTGAGTAGCCTATTTATTATTATTATTAAGTTTAATCAATTAATTAAATAAATGAATTAAATGATTATTTAATAAACTTGCAGTATAAAATCCATTTTGGTACATCACTAGTTTCCTTTAAATGCATAAAAGTGAAAATGAAAAGCTAAAAATTAATAATACACAGAGCCTAAAACAGGGGTGGCCGCAACATCTGTAAAAATGTTAACATCATTGTTTTTAAAGGTTAAAATTTAATATTCTTACTGAGTTAGAACTCAAAAATCTCTACAAAAATTAAACACTGGCCTTCCGTAGTATGGTACATTTAGATCATGACGACCACAGGTAAAACCACACTTGGCACCTCACTACCATGGTAAAAAAATAAAATAAAAATAACCATTTATAGAATGGCTTCATGGTAGGGCTGCACGATTAATCGAATGCGATTGTCATGCGCATTTTGTTAGTAATGCCGGTTCTGTAATCAGCAGGAAATCATCATCACGTGCTTTCAGATGGAGCAGCATTTACTACACATAGATTGGCATTTTCTGGGTTTCTTCTGCGAGGCGTATTTGGAGTTTCAGCACGAGAGCGCCCTCTGGCCTTTGGATGGAGATTTACTGCTGATCACAGAACCGTGCTTCACTGAAAGATACGCATGACAATCGCAGCTTCTGTTGAATCGCGATCTCGATTCCATTTCGATTTATCGTGCAGCCCTACTTCATGGTATTAAGTCTAAACACAAACGCACAAAACAGCTAGCTCATAACCATCAATGTAATTTGGCCTGTTCATTATACTCCCTTAATACATGACTACATTAATAATTTAATAAAATTCTATATAAATTTAATACATAGCAGTAACAAAGGGGGACGGTCCTTTGCGAAGGGTCAATTGGCCCGTGTGTTGGACTTTGGATACCCCTGACCTAAAAGGTTTTTATTTTAAAAGGCAACATTCTTATGCTGCTCATAAGCACTTGTGATTTGTTGTTTTGCAGGTATCAGAAATGGCTCACTAATGCTATGACTGTGGCATACTGGCTCTGGCATGGTATTAAGCTCTTCATGATTTTTATACTCAAAATTGTACTGTCCTCTACAAGGAAAGCCTTTGGAGATATGTAAGCACACAATAAAAACATTTTTTTCTGCTGTTAACTGTTAATGCTACCATTGTGGAAATTAAATTTGAAAATCATAACTGTCTTCTGTCTTTTGCAAAGGATGCTGAGTCTGATCAGTTTCATACCTGCGCAAGTTCACGATGAGCAGCACAGACGCAGAGAGCTGTCTGAGAGACACATGACCTCCTCTAATCTGAATGGGCACGTCTCTGCTGTTTTCCCGCCGAGTCCCTCCATGGCACAGACCCTCCCAAAGCTCTACACGCTCCTGTTTTCACTAGAGACAGAGAGCAAGTGGAGAAGACGCAAGATAGAGGTGCAACACACATTACAGCAGCACGTGGCTGGTGTGAAAAGAAATTAAAAACATGCAAGAAATGCAAGATGGTTGAGGTTACTCAACACAGAGTGAAACTGATATATTAATCTGTGCTGCTTCAGATGGAAAGTTTCAATGTTTTAATGCAAAGTACTGAATACTAACACACGACTAGCATTGGGACAGCACTCTATATTATTAGTGTCCTTTTCTTTGTAAAGACCCCATGAAATTTGGTAATGTCTTATGAGCCCATATTTTTGCTGGTGAACTAAAAGGCAACAAAAATAATTATAGAAAAAAATAAAGGATTTTACTAAATGTATTTTAGGGCTGTCTAAAATATTACTATATTACTTTTAATAATATTAGTATTTTTTAAACATTCACATATACCAGGTTTTATAATATTGCTGTTCCATTCTATTATTTATGTCAACAGTAAGAAAAACATACAGATCTGCATATAGATTTGTGGAAAAAATTAAAATACATTTATAAATATCAATCTCAGTTATACTGTCAACTTTTCCAGTTTTAACATTTTGCTTTAGTATTATGAAAATAAAATAGCCACTTGTTGGTGTTGTTTGCTTAATAATGCACTTAATATTTTTTCTCACACACTCAAAATGGGCTTTTATACGTGAAAATATACAGCTGAATGGCCACCAAAAGGAATGAAAGCTTTAAATTTAAATCATAATGATTTGTGCCAAAGAACATTTCTGACCAATTATATATATAATATATGCCTTTGCATTTATTTTATTTTGGTTTCATTTAAAAGCAGATTTTTAATCAGTTCAGAATATATAGGACACCTGTGTTGTATGGCCACAGCTGACTATTAATTAGGTGGTTAGATCACAGGACTTTCATCAGACTCTGACTTCTGACTCCAGGAATCAGTTGAGATCGATTAGCAATGGTGCTCAATGCAGAATGTGTTTATACAGGATGCACTGAAATGTCAAGGGTGGCTAATACCATTCCAGACGCCACTGCTGCCATTCACATCCACTAACAAATGCTGCCATTATTCCATGGCAACCATTTATAAAGACATTAACTCCAAATGTGGTTTTACTAAATGATTTTAGCACAATGGCACAAAACAGAGCATATCTAAACATGGGCCTCAATCATGCAGTCGTATGATGCATCTGCCAGCATCAGAGCCAACATTTACTGACGCAACCTCCTCAGTTAAAAACCATGACAAATTACCTTTTATAAATGCCATTATATGAAAACAGATGCTCAACCTGGTCTAGCCAAATAACACATGATAGTTGTGATCCATATCTTACATTTTATACCCAAGTGTAATGTTGTTTAGCGTAAATATCATTTCTGAAATGAGGTTACACACAGCATGAGACCCCGATAAACGTTCAGTTTTCCATGGTTTAGTCTAAATGTCACACATTTATCTCCAAAATATCTCCAATGTACACTACGGATCAGATTAGATACGGATTTGGGGCCGGTATGATTTTTTATAAGAAGTCTCTTGTATTTACCAAGGCTGCATTTATTTGATGAGCAATACAGTAAAAACAGTAATATTCTGAAATGTTCTTACAATTTAATAGAACTTTTTTCTATTTTAATGCATTTTAAAATAGCTCAATTATAATTTAAAATAAGCAGTCATTACTCCAGTCTTCAATGTCACATTATCATTCAGAAATCATTAGAATATGCTAATGTGGTGTTCAAAAAACATTTCTTATTCACAGTTTTAGTATCAGGTTCAACCCTGTTGTAATTTTTACAGTCGGTCATTGTATAAAGCTTACAGTATAAACAAACTACTAAATTTGGCTTATTCACAAAAGCAGCTACAAATATATCACAGTTTTTCCCCCCTGAGTTAACTCTATTGCACTTTTTTTTTGTAGTTTTTGACTTCACAGTCAGTCTGTATCACTTGTACTCTGTTCTTCCAAATCTTCAGGCACCTGCCAGGAAACGAAAAACATGATATGCGATCAAACCACTTACAATAAACCATTTAAAACCATCTATAAGAAACAGGAAACTACTGGAACTTAATAACTAACATACTTAATAACTAAAAGTTTGATTTATAATGAAAAACCTTAAATTTCAAAACTCCAAACTTCCCAGTAGAAAAATAAGCATCTATTGAAAGTAAGCTACAAAAACAACCCAATGCTTCTGCAGAAGTTTCAACTTCTACATAAATAGTAACATAAATGCACACATTAACCCATTTGGTGAACAGAAACTTGGCCCAGTTCACCATAATCTATTAATAATGCAGAAATGTCTGCCAAATTAAATTTGAAAAGTGTATTAAAAATGTTTATTGTGTTTTTAAACTGGTTTTGAGGATAACACACTTGCCATTGTTTGAATCCTGCCGCATATCTCTCAGATGAGAGCGTTTCTTTAGAAAGCCTCATATGTTTGCTGAGAGTGACGAAAGGCTGTAAAGGAAAGATTGTGTGGAAAGGCCTTATATGAAGATTTGGGTGTGTTTTAATTAGTGCTGTCAATCGACTACAAAAAATAACTAATTAATCGCACATTTTTCTGAAATTAATCGCGATTAATCACGATTAATCCCACCTAACATTAAAGTTTTTAAATATACTTTTATATTGCAATAATTTCACATTCAATCTTCAAATTAATGTACAAACAACAAAGACAGTATATTTTTTTAAATATTTGTTTAATGGCATCTTTTTTTATGACTGAAGGCCAGTATCAATGATACCAATACTGATTTCTCTATAAAATTGTCTTAAAGTCTCTATTAATGATCTGACGAGTTAAATCGGGTGTGTTAGATGAGTGAGACAGTGCTGGGCTCCTCCAGGACAGTTTGGAAAACCATTTCAGAAACATGTTCTTAAATGTGACTCATATAAAATATATTACATGCATGCAGTTTTAAGGCAGCTTTAATCGCCTTTTTGGTAACTTCATGACTTAACTGACCATGGCATTGCATGCACGTTAGGGCTGTCAAAATGACTGAAAAATTAAATTAGAATTTTCCACTTAAATATTATCAAAATTCAAATTTAAAAGGCATAATTTCAGTTAGGGGGAAAAAAAGCTTTTGGCTTCTCTCCTGAGG